TGTCTGTCATGAATTTGAGCTTCTGGAGATTAGGGACTTCAGATTCCCACTGCCCAACAGTCTCTATGATTTGTATACAGTACCTGCATATTGTCTGATTAATGTTGTATATCTCCTCCCCATTCATTTAATTTACTGAACTCCAAGTGTAAAACGCTGTATTTTTTCTGTATTAAATTTTATTTTGTTGCTTTCAGTCTCCTCTTTATATGGAGGATTTTGCCAACCAACATAGGAAGCTGTTCTTCCTAGCTTTAGTCCCTCAATATGATGACACCATAATGAGGACAGAGATTCACATCTGCTTTATTCACTGTTATGTCCTCAACACCTAAATAGGGCTGGAACATACATTATGAGCACCTAATAGATATATTGTGTTGGGATACAAATCTGATAAATGGACCTTTCATTCTCATCCATTCCATTACTCCTTATAAACAATGATACTTTTATTTTTTATAACTTCTATTAGCACACCTAACCTGGGAAACCTTGTAAAGTGGGAGAACAATTTAATAACTCTTTCAACTAGAAGATAAAGACCTTTCAATTGGACAGCATGTCTTTTTTTTTTATTTGTTTATTTTTATGTGGTACTGAGGATCAAATCCAGTGCCTCACACATGCTAGGCAAGTGCTCTACCACTGAGCCACAACTGCAGCTTCAGGACCTTTTAATTCTTTGTCCTTAGTTCCATTCTGCTCAAAATTTTTATTAGAAATTACTTTTCAAGAGCTGGGGATTTGGCTCAGTTGGTAGACTGCTTGCCTGGCATGGGTGAGGACCTGGGTTGGATCCCCAGCAACCCACTGCCCCCCAAATCCTCAATGTTGCATAAGATTTGGTTCTGTGACTCTTATAGCAGAATAAGGATATACTGGGAAATTCCAGGACAAATATCAGTTGACTCAGGGATGTTTAATTGTGGGAGAGTTTAGAAATGGTTGATACCTTGCTTATGTAAGTAATTTTAGTTTTATGTGTAAGACCTTTTCTTTTTTGGTTTTTCAGAGAATATGCTATGGGAGGGAGTTCTTCCTGTGGGCAAAAGAGAAAAACTTGGATTCAGTCTTTTGAGAAAGAAAGGTTAGATATTATATATCTAGTAGTAACCCCCCTTTCAAGATTGAATGTTCCCATTCATTTGATACTTTTGTATGTCTGTGTGAAGAATAGAAGAGAGAGATGGTGGTATTTAATAAACTTTGATTTGGAGAGACAAGATATGCACCAAGTGCTGGGGAAGTTCAGATGAAGAAAACATTGAGGGACAGCGCAATGAAACAGTTTTGGAAGAACAACTGAGTTTTGATTATTTCTCCACAGAAAGGCATCTTAAGTAGCTTCCTTGGGGGCCTTATCTTCTTAGTTGAGAGGGTTATTTAATTGTTTTCCCACTTTACAAGGTGCCCCAGCTTACGTATGCTGATAAGAAGTTATAAAAACAGCATGGTTATTTATAAGGAGTGATGGAATGGACAGAGCAGGGCTTTGGGCCAGACTGCCTGCAGTGTAAATTTAGAGGCTTCCACTTAAATATCTGAGCATTCTTAGACAAGTCATTTAATCTCTGAGCTTTGGTTATTTCACCCTGGGTTGCTTTGAAGATTGAATGAAGTGGTGTATATGAAGTGCCCCATACATCATCTGCCACGTGGTAGGTGTTCAGTAAATGTTAGTTTTCTTTTCGCCTTGCCAAGACAGGATGTTTGCTCCAAGTATGTTTTTAGTGTCCCTGATTATTATAGGTTATGATTTTTACTCTTGGTCTAACCACCACCTATGTGGTTCCTGCAGTTAAGAAAAGAGGTAAAAGGTTTACCATGAGGGAAGAAGGTGCACAGAAATGAGTCTAGAGAAAATGGATGTTTGAAAGGGATCTAATTATTGAAGTACTATTTCTTGGTGGTTGAGAATTAAAATATGTCAATCTTATGAGGAAATGATATTCAGGTAAAGAACATCTATTGTTTCTTCTCTATTTTGGAGAATGTGTTTCAATGCTGTATATAAGAAGCTAGTAAAGAAAATTCTGTTAACTTATTTCCTACTAGAGGTCATTATTTGTGTTATTACCTCAAAGATTGAACAACTATATTAACAATAGGATTATATGTGTATTAACTACACTAACTTATTCTAACAAGGATTGAGGTAGTTTTCAGAATAAAATGCTATACAAGTAAAATTGTAAGGTAGGAATAGAAAACAAATCAACAATTGAAAATATGACATGGTATGTGATATTAAGATCAGGTGAAAAATGATACCTAATACATAAACTACCAGAGCTACATTGTTATAGTGCAAAAATGAGTTTTMCTCTAAGCTACCTGGCAGCAAAAATGAAAAAGGGAGCATGGTGGATATGGTTAAAGAAAACAAAATTTACCTATTTCTCAAAGGAAGTGAAGTGTTTTTTGCCTTAGCAGAAAACTTCTTTTAGGGAATACTGAATAATGAATAAACACAGGCCTTGTCCTTGTGGTAGAACTAACGATAGGTTTCATCAGGCAGTTTTCCTAAAAGTGTGTCTCAATGAAAGCTGAGGCTGTGAAAAAAGAGGCAGTTCTGAAAGCCATTCCACCAGAGGCCAGAATGATCTGATCTGAGTTCACAGATTCTGGGTCTGGCAAAATCTAAGGGTAACATTGAGATCGTGCTACACCAGTTTCCTATCATTCTTAAATATCATTGTTTTCAATAGGGCTTCCTTATTATTTCTTTGAAATCAACTACATAAATTTATTCTCTATTTGGGGAAAAGTCATAGCACAGGAGTCACACAAATTATAAACCTCTTAACAAGACTTTTGAGAAGAACTTTCTAGGAATTCAGAACCTGTATTGTGGATATTTTGTTGTTGAATTACGCTGGATTCATCCCCGTTAGAAATCATACTAGCAGATTGTAAGGTTGGCATCCTCTAATGGGAATCGAGAAAGATTACATTTACCTGTATGATTAGCACACTGCTTTGTGGAAGGGGCTGGGGAGTTTTATCTTTTGCTTTGAACAGTGGTAAGGTTAGAAAATAATCATTATTCTTAGAGTCTTAGTAAATAAGGGTCAAGGAGGTTTGCATTAAATGTCTCAACTATGAGTCCAGGTTAGGAGTGGGAAAAAAAATCCCCAAATTTAAGACTGTGTACTGCTGTGAATTTCCAATGAATGTAAAGGAGAACCCTGGAGACTCAGCAGTTGATATGGGCTTGTGTTTTTTTCTTTTTTTTTTAAACCTCAGATTTTACTTTTCACATTCTAGGAGTAGTAATTTATTTATAATTTCAGAAATTTCTGTAGTTGTTAGTTACTTGAGTCCAGCACTTTCCAGGTGATATGAATGGGTGTCAGGTTAACAGAGATGTTGGTCCCTCAGCCTTCCCAAATACCTGAGCCATGGCCTCCCACCTTGAGTTAACTCTGTTCATTTTATGTCAGTGGGCTGTGTAAGAGCCATTTTCTGTGTAAGCCATGATCTGAAAAATTTTGCAAAGAATAGCTGTAGGTCATTTTAGATATGAGTGAATTTAGTATAACTTTAAAGTTCTTTAATCATAGAGTCTTGGTGTTATGAGCAAATAGAATAATATGGTTATTTGAAGAAGTGGGTGTCTCTCAGAACATAGATTCACTTATTTTTGTACTTTTCACTATTGGAAGGGGAGGATACAAAAAAAGTAAGGGAGAAGACTAGCATCACCCATGTGATAATGGATTAGAGTTGGAGGTGTCGGTACTAATTCATGTTTAGCTTGATGTAGAACCCAGATACCAATGGGTTCGTGTAGATAATATTTGTAGGTATATACACTTGTGTGAGATGGCAAATATGCATGTATTTCTTAGCCCTGACAACTGAGACTACTTGGAAACAAAAAAAGCCTTGTAGCAACAAACACACCTAGCACTTAAGTAACCAGGGCTCTTTGAAGATAGGGTTGATTGTAAGACTGGGGCAGAAAAAATACAAAAAGGAGCCTGCAGCAAATATATACCAGAAGCAAGGGAGTGCTTAAAAACAAACAAAAATATCCCCTAAATCACCCCTCCACCATAAATGGAGGTGAGCTAAAGAGTCACAGGAGCCAAGTGAAAGAGCTCTCAGGGAGCTTTCAGTGGCCAAAAAGATAAAAAAGTATTTGAATATAACCTAAAGTATATGATAACTGTGTATGAGTCCACACTAATATTAATAAATGATTGAATGAGTAAATGTGGGAGAATAGACAAATCTCCCATGCAGAAGAATTCCTGTATGTAGGTAAATACATCAGTCTCAAGGAGATGGATCATAATTTCCTACTCCTTAAGTAGGCTGTGCTTAGTGACTTCCTTCTAAGATTGTAGTACAAAAAGAGAAAAGTCTACTTTGTAGTGGAGGAACTTGATAAACACAGCCTCAGCTAGGTTATCAAAGTTTACATTGACAGTGATATATCATGTTGGTACTATGTACCCTTGATATAAAGTGGAACTTTATTTTTATGGTCTTCTTTTCTAAGTACTCATAGCTCTAGGCTATTATGAGAATATCATGTAAATCCTACTGAGGGACATCTTAAAATATCTTGATAAATGCTCCTCAATTCTGTCAAGGTCTTCATAAATGAGGCAAATTGGCAAACTGTTAAAGTCTAAAGGAACCTGAGGAGATATGCTGACTGAATATAATGTGGTTTCCTGGATGGGATTCTGGAACAGAAAAAGGACATTAGGTAAAAACTAAGGAAATTTGAACGAACTTAAGTTAGAAACAGTGTAGTAATAATTGGTTCAGTAATTGTGATGAAAGGACCATACTATAAAATGTTAATACTAGGAGAAACTGGGTATGGTCATTCTCTGTACTTTTCTCAGTATTTATATAAATTTTAAACTATTAAATGATAGTTTTTAAAAATTTACTTATCAATACTGTAAAAGATATTAAAGCATTCCCCCCTCCCCCCAAACATGTAGGATTCACTTGCATTCAGATGGAGTGACCTAGAGGACAATTTCCTGCATGGCTTGTTTCCTCAGTCATTGTCCACAGACTCTTGAGTAGTTGTAGGAATTTTCAGGCCCAGACTTGAGGCCCATCTTCTCCAAAGTTGTGGAAAGGAACTGTATATTATGTGGCCCCTATACTTCCCTATGCCACTTGAAGGAAGAGTGACCTCTTGGGGGTTATCCATGCTGAATAAAAGCTTATTAACAACAACAACAACAACGGTAAGTTTCAAATTATGACCATACTGTTGAGATAAAACTTGGTGTTATGGTTTCAGTGTGTCCCCCAAAAGCTCATGTGTGAGACAATGTGAGAAGGTTTAGAGGTAAAATGAATTGGGCTATGAGAGCCTTACTCCAGTCAGTGAATTAACAGGAATTAACTGAGTGGTCAGTGTATGCTGGTAGGATGTGGATGGAGGAGGTGGGTCATTGGGGCATGTCTTTGGGATATATATTTGGTGAGTTGAGTGTAGTCTATTTCTGCTTCCTGGTGCCATGTTTTGAGCTGCTTCTCTCCACCACATTCTACTACCATGATGTTCTGCCTTACCTCAAGCCCCAAGGAATAGAGCCGGTTGTCTCTGAAACTGTGTGCCCCCAAATAAACTTTTCTCCTCTAATTGTTCTTGTCAGGTCTTTTGGTCTCAGAATGAAAAAGCTGACTAAAACACTTGGCTTTTTTTTTAATCTGAGAATGAAGTTTCCAAGAATTATAGATACTTGTTATTTAGGCAGTCAGAATTGGTAAAACCATAGAGCATAATCTTAGACTACTTGTAGTTTTAAGATGATCCATGTCCCACAGCAAATGTCAGAGTTGTGATCCTACTTGCCAGCATCTGTGGACTTGTAGCCAAAAATATGACTTCCTTGGGCTTAGGATGTGCCTGAATGGCACAGAGCTTGCCTAGCATGTGTGAGGCCCTGGCTTCCATCTCCAAGTTGACTAACTCATCTGCAAGCACAAAGTGCTGTCAGTGTACAGAAATGGTGGGCGTGGGTGATAATAGAGAACCCTTCTATTGTGTTTTTATAAGAAATATTAATGATATAATATGGAAAGAAGCTGTAGTTCTGGAGTTCCAAGTCAGTGGAGTATATGGACTTTTAAGACTTTGGATTTGTACAATATTCTCCCATTTTGAAAGCAAGCTTTATAATAAAGGAGTTTGAAATTGTTTTTCCTATTTTTATCCTTTGTTTTGGTGGAGTCTAGGGTAACCTTTTGAGGATATGAAAACTAACATTAAAAAAAATTTAATGTTTTAAGCAAACAGAAAAATCTAGGGAGTAACAATGTATATAGACTATACTTAAAACCGACTACTCTAATCCTAATTTTTTTCCTATTTTATAAAAGATACGTTACCAACTCAACTGTGGTCCTCTGTGTGCCCCTCTCCATTCTGATCCCCTTCATCCATTACTTCCCAGAGGTAATCACTATCCTGAATCTGTTTTTATTTTTCCTATCATGTCTTATACTGCAATTACATGTATAAATCTATATTCCATTGTATGTTAATACCAATGTTCTTTCTTTATTCTGTTGCTGCTGAGCATTTAGGCTTTTTTCCACTTTTTTGCTTTTACAGATGATGGTTCAGTGAACATTATTTTTCATATCTACTTGGGCACATGTGCAAAACTTCTCTGAAGTATATGCCTGAGAATGGAATTGCTAGCATGTGGGGTATGCACATCTTCAGCTTTTCTAGATGTTGCCAAATTACTCTTGCAATTTATGTTGGAAGGTGTAAGAGAGTTCCTTCTCCCTATTGTCTAACTAAAACTCAGTATGGTTAAGCTTTTTAATATTTGCCAATTTGAGATTTATTATTTTTATTTTGTATTTTTCTGATTACTCGTGAGCATCTTTATAAATGTTAGTCATTAGTTTTCCCTTCTGAATATTTTATCGAAGCCCTCCTGCCTGTTTTTCTCTTAGCTTTTTTCTTATTAATTTATAGACTTTAAGATGAAAATAATTTGTATGTTAGCTTTTCATCACTGTGACAAATACCTGAGAAAAAAACACTTGGAGGGAGAACAATTTATTGTGGCTCATGGTTTCAGTCCATGGTCAGTTCGCTCCCTTTCTTTGGGCCTGAGATGAGGCAGAACATAATGGTAGAAGGGCATAGAAGAGGAAATCTCAACTCAGGGCAGCCAGAGAATAGAGAGAAGAAGGGACCAAAGACAAGGTGTAGTTCCCAAGGGCACTACATACTTCCTTCAACCAGGTCTCACCTTCTATAGTTCCCACTTCCTCCCAGTAGTCCATTCAGCTCTCAGTGGATTAATCCACTGATGAAGCCAGGGCCCTCATGATCCAATCACTTCCCCAGAGTTTTACCTCTGAACACTGCTGTGTTGGTGTCTGAGCCTCCAACACATGAGTCTTTAGGGTTGGGGAGATATTTTATATCCAAACCACAACAACTTCTTGTTTATACACTGCAATGACCTTTTCTTCTGTGGTTGATTTCTTTACTTTATTTCTACTAGCTTGTCTATAGAAGTTGTAGGTTTGAAGGGCTCAGATTCTATTCATATTTTCCGTCATGGTTTGCGCTTGAAGAAATATCTTTTCTCTCCTGAGGAAAGAGCCCTTAAGTTCCTTAAATTTTCCTTGAAGGTCCTTATATCTTTCCCCATATTTATTTTTTAAAATCTGGAATAAAAAGTTTCTCCACTGACTAGATTTGTGTTTGTTTGCTTTTTGAGATGCTGGGGATCAAACTCAGGTTCTTGCAAAGGCTGAACACATGCTGTACCACTGAGCTACATTCCCAACCTTATTGGATTTTTTATACTTCAATGCCTACATTTTCTCATACCCAAGATTTCTAATTAATATTCTTTTAAATGTACTTTCATTTTTGATCATTTGTTTAATAATTTATTGTTCTTTTAAWATGAAATTATTCCTTATTTTATTGAAAGTCTAAACATATACATTTTGGAGTATATGTATATTATATATATTTTGGAGTATAGTCCGGTCTACAGAATTAATTTCATCTTTAATGACTGTATTTTTTTTACTAATTGGTAGTTTGTTGGTTGAGTTTCTTAATATTAGATTGGCTTCAGGTTTTTGACATTTGAGTTTCAGAATCATTTTGGATGGGAGTTAATATATTGTTTGTTTGATTTTCACTTTTCTTACTTTCTCTACCCAATAGTTTAAATTTTCTTCCACCTGTTCTCAGAGTTCCCAATTTAAAACAGGGTCTTACGAAAAAGTTTCTTTCTCCATAATAACATTGAAAAACTCATAGACCCAGCCAGAAAAGTAGTGTGGAGACCTTATTTCATGATTTGGTGTGTCTACTAGAGTCTAGTAAATGTCTGTCAAATATTTTAATCAAAATTAAAAACTCCTATTCTATAGAAGATATTCTTTTTAAAAAATTTTAGTTATTGACACAATTAATGGGTTTTCAATGTGTCATTTCCATACCTGTATATATTGTGCATTGATCACATCTATCCTTTCTACTATTCTCTCTTGCTTCTCTCCTGTTCTCCACCTCCCCTCTCTCTTTCCTTTCTGTAATAGTCCCTCTTCTACTTTCAGATCTTTTTTTTTTAAAGTTTCCACATGTGAATGAAAACATGTGATATGTGTCTTTCTATATCTGGCTTATTTTGCTTAGCATGAAGTACTCCGGTACCATCTATTCCTGTAAATAACATGATTTTTTCCTCTTTATGGGGAATAATATTCCTCTGTGTGTGTGTGCATGCATGCATGCATGCATGCATGCATAATCTTTATTTTTTAAAATATATTTATTTTTAAAATTTGTTTTACTTGGTTGTACATGACAGCAAAATGCATTTCAATTCATAATACATAAATGGAGCGCAACATTTCAATTCTCTGGTTGTACACGGTGTAGAGACACACCATTCATGCAATCATACATGTATCTAGGGTAACCATGTCCATCTCATTCCACCATCTTTCCTATCCTCATAACCCATCCTTACCCTCCCCTTTCCCTGATCCAAAGATCCTCCATTCTTCGCATGTCTCAGTCCCCCATCATAGATCAGCATCCACTAATCACAGAAAACATTTGGCCTTTAGTTTTTGGGGGATTGGCTTCGCTTAGCATAAGATTCTCTAACTTCATCCATTTACCTGCAAATGTCACAGTTTTATTTTCTTTTAATGCTGAATAGTATTCCATTGTATATATATACCACAGTTTCTTTATCCATTCAGCTATAAAAATTCATTCATTTGTTGATAGGCACCTAGCTGATTCCATATCTTGACTATTATGAATAGTGCTGCAATAAACATGGGAATGTGGGTATCTCTTTTTGTTTGCTGACTTTATTTCCTTCTGGTATATACATACCCAGGAGTAGTATAGCTGTATTATAGCTGTGCTATAGGGTAGTTCTGTTTTTTGTTTTTTGAGGAACCTCCATACTGTTTTTCATATTGGCTATACTAATCTAAATTTATACTCCTATCATCAGTGTATAAGGGGTTTTTTTTCTCCATATCATCATCAGTATTTGTTGTTGTTGTTTTGATAATAACCTTTCTGACTGGGGTGGTGATATGGAATCTCAATGTAGTTTTTTTTTCTTAAATTTTATTTTCCTGATGGCTAAAGATGAAGATGTTGAGCATATTTTCATATATTTATTGGCCATTTGTACTTCTCTTTTTGTTTTTGAACCCAGGGGTACTTAACCACTGAGCCACATCCACAGTTCTGTTTTGTGTTTTATTTAGAGACAGAATCTCACTGAGTTGCTTAGTGCCTAACTTTTGTTGAGGCTGGCTTTGAACTTGTGATCCTCCTGCCTCAGCCTCCCAAATTGCTGGGATTATAGGCATGCATCACCATGCCCAGCTGTAGTACTTCTTTTGAGAAGTATCTGTTCAGATCATTTGCCCATTTGTTGATTGGATTATTTGTTCTTTTATTGTTAAATTTATTGAGTTCTTTATACATTCTGAATACTAATCCTGTCAGATAAACATCTGGCAAAGATTTTCTTTCATTCTGTAGGTTGTCTTGTTTCCTTTGTTATACAGAACCTTTTTAATTTGATGTAATCCCATTTGTAAATTCTTATTTTTATTTCCTGAGCTGTTTGAGTTCTATCAAGAAATTTGTAGCCTTGGCTAATCTTGCAGTG